AAAAAAAAAGTTGAGTTTATCAGTGGAGATAGTGTTTTAAGCTGTGTCACAGTTTCCTCTTGTGGTATCCTAGATTGGACCTTGGGACAGAGAAAAAGGACAAAAGTTGGAAAAATCCAGCGTCTGTTGTTGAGTTAATAGGATTGTATTCATTTCTAATTTTTAGCAAATGTGCCATGTTATATAAGATGTTAACATTAAGGGAAGCCAGCTTCCAAGAACTATAGGAAAACAAGAGGACAGAGGTTATTCCTTTGCCATCCTGCATGTTTCCAGACTTCTGTTCACTATAGTCAGTTTGTGAATGCCTTGAGAGGAGAGGAAGTCTAACATTCGACTGAGAAAAATATAAGTAGGATGGTAAGTTGGCTATAAAATCGTGATATGCAATGCTGTCATTTAGGTCCTTTAGAGATAAAGGATGGACGTTGTAGGATCTTCTTGCTCACCTGGAATTTTCGAAGGTGTTTTCTTATGTGAAAGAGATAAGTCTACTATTGGTCTTTTCTCACTGGCAAATTTTAACTACTTAAGAGTTTGTGTGGTTCAAAGATTCCTTTTACTTTCATAGGTACAAACACAAGTACGCCTTGCCAAAAAAAGCTTTGACAAATTGAAGATGGACGTGTGTCAAAAGGTGGATCTTCTTGGAGCAAGCAGATGCAATCTCTTATCTCATATGCTAGCAACATACCAGGTAACAAAGTGATGTTTGTTACAATGAACCAAGAATGTTAAGAGATTTAGGTTACAGAAAAATGGTGTTTTGAACTATAACTATGGGTTGGACATTATGAAGTTCTGATAACTTATTTCCTACGTCTCTTCCTTCTATTAGACTACAGTTCAGTCAAACCGAACATTAGCTATTCCCTGTCCATGCACTGTAATTTCTCACTTCCCTGCATTTGCTTAGGTGGTGCTTTCTGCCTGAATGCCTTCCCCCTCCATTCATACCTTCCCAAATTCCACTCTGTTTTATGTACCGAACTCTGTCACATCCTTCAGAGAGCCTCCTCTGAACTCACTTAGCATTGTCGCCTGTACTTCTCATGGCACAGTCACTTACTCATCAGGTTGTCATAATTTAATGAACTTGTTTTTGTCTCCTGCCAACCTCTGGTTAGCACTCGTATCCATCAGCAGTATCACTGAGCATCAACCGAGTGTGGGAGGCCAAACTCTAGTGTTGTAAGGAATATCAAAATGAATAAGAACAGATTCCCTGTGCTCGAAGAACTTAAAGTTTAGGAAGAAATTCAGAGACAGTAAAGTCTGACTCTATTTTCTATACCTCAAGGAGAGAATAGGGTGTGCTCAGTGAAATAAATTCTACAAAATTCAGTGAAGGTTTAAGAGGGAGAAACTGAATCAGTTAAGAGATCACAAAAGTATATTGTTAATGATTAGCCCTGGGTTTTAGAGTCTGGATCTGGAACAAGGAGAATGTCCCAGGTGGTGGAGTGCCTAAGCCATGAGAGACAGTGTTTAGGGAAACAAGACAGACGTTGGTTCGGCTGAAATACAGGGAATAAATAGGTGCATAATGGGAAGCAAGCCTGCATCGATGTGTTGGAATCATAAAAGCCACGGATGGGCACACTTCCCTGGGGCCCATGACTAGAACTGGGCATTCAAAACATTAATCGCGTTACTGTCTCTCTTTATAGACCACTTTGCTTCATTTCTGGGAGAAAACATCTCACACTATGGCAGCCATCCATGAGAGCTTCAAAGGTTATCAGCCATACGAATTCACTACGTTAAAGGTATGAACACTAGAGAGGCCATTAGAAAACCTCATGAATGGTAAAGTTTTGTTTATATCACAGTGTCCATGGCAGCAAGCATCATTATTCTACGAGGCTCCAAATGTCAGAGAACTGTGCCCCCAGTAAGGTCTTGTTTTACTGCATCAATATTCAATGCTACAGTAAGCCACAACGATATAAGTACAAAGGTCGAATCTTGGAGTATATGTTACTGACAGATGAATTGCAGTGAACTCCAGCCTAATGATGAGGCCTGCTGCTTTAAAATACTTGTTTGACATTGCTAAAGAGAAGATTGTATGCTTCGTTACTTTTTAGTTATTAAATTCAGATAGGCTCACCTGAGAAGGTATTTTTCCTCCCTTACTTCTAACAAATAACATTTTATTCTGTATCATCCAATATAGAATTGGATTTTTCCATAAAATAACTAATATTCTTTAATTTAAAAAACATTCAACTCAATGATTTCTCAACTCAAAAGGGAATCAAGCAAAATGTCTGATTCTTAGTGTTGCCACTGCAAGTGAAATCATTTTATTCTCTGACGTTGCTGAGGATAAGCGCATGTCAAGATAAAGAAGTGATTTGGGTCCCAAAAGGATTTCAAGAATGGTGAGAGGGAACACTGGGTTTCTGGGTCACGTCTTTGAAAGGAAAAGACCAGGAAAGAACTAAAGTTCACCTGGAAATGACCCTCCTTCTAATTCTTCAGGCAATTCGTGTCTCATCACCTTACTTAAAAGAACATAAAAAGCTTTTTTCTTTTTTTTTTTTTTGCCATTAAACACCTCTTTGACTTTGAGATATTTGTAATGTCACTGCATCTACAAAAACACTAAGACAGAAACCCTTTAAGACCGCAGCCCTATAAATAAAAGTCTTAAACCCCAAGATAGTCCGCTCACCTTGTGCTGCCGCTGACCTGATTAACAGACAGGACACCTGGCCATGAGGTCTGTTTTTCATAATCCCGCTGTCATCCGGTCACTTGCTCGCTGACATGTTGCATGAATGGATTCAGAATGAGACCTTTTTTGGTCTGTTAACTGGACTATGTCAAGGGAGGGACCTTTCATTTCTTATGTGTCCTCCTTTGTCCAGCCAACTGTTGCACACACAGTGAACCCACAGCCTTCCTCGTCACCTCGACCATGTTACTGTCCTCGGTCAGGGCTGCATTCCTTCCCTGTGATTTACTGCTGCTTTCAGTGCCTTAAAGCAGCTATCCTGACCAAGGCAGACTGAATAAAATAGTGTAACTCACACTAGTCACATTTTTTTACAAAAGCCTGAGCAGAATCCCATGGATTATTCTTTGATAAGACAGAGAGTTTTAGGGCATAATGTGCGTCAGATCTTATTTTATTATAAATACAACTTCAAAGATTGTCTTTTGAAAGGCGACTTTGCATAGCACAAATCGGCTAGGTGGGAGATGAAATGGTGCCTACCCCAAGTAAAATTTAAAAGAAGCTCAGGTTTGAGTTAATTGCATATAAACTACAATAGGAAATTAAAGTTGTGCCACAGGAATGGAAGAATCCTTATGTGTACCCGTGGCCTCCTGTGCTGAGGAAAATATGGCTCCTTAATTTTTGCCATGATATTTAATTTATCCTGCAGAGAGGATCAAGCTGATTATGTTCGATAGTTTCTGGGTAGAGAATTTAGTGAAAGTTTGATGGCAATGGTTTAGGACATAATTACAAATATTTTGGGCAGATGACTCTTCATTGCCTTTTACACCCCCAGAGCTCTCCTTAGATTATGATTTAAGTAACAGTTTATGATTTGATGTAATACAAACTCAGTAGGAGTAATACCTCTGTTAAGGTGTGATATGATTACAGTAATATCAGGAATACTGTGTCCAGAAATCAACCAAATAAACTATGCTTTTATTACCTCTCTTGAATGTTATCCATCTAAACTTTCAATTATGACATGTTATATTAGAATCTCAAGCTAGTAGCTCTTTATTTTCTTTATATGGACTCAAATCTACATAACAGAATCCTGTTATTACACAGCCCGTCATCTCATAGGTAGAGGCACATTGCATATCATATTATATGTCATGAAACATAAAAATGAAAACCATTAACACCTTATGTATCAGCATCAAGTATGAGCATATTACCTGACTTACCAACCCTCTTGCACTAATATATTTTTTATATACTTGCCTTATATTTGAAAGATTTTGATTTGATCAAGTCATCTTTTAATGCATACAATCTTCTGAATGGCACTGTATATTGATAATTGATATTTTGAAATTTAAATACTTTTACGATTTATTTGTTCTCTGGATTTACCTAAGCAAATAGCCCCTTAAATGCCTTTTGGGACTCTAGCTGGAAAGAAAACATTTTCTTTGGAGAGGTTTGCCAAGCTCTGTTAATGAAAAGCAACCCATTTGTTTTCTTTGCTGCAGGGTGTATTCTAAGTGTGTTGGTAATTGTGCCACTGCAGCTGTATTTCCTGACTGTTAGTTTTATGCTTGATGAAGGATGATAATTAATGTGTTAAACAATTGGTGCATCCTGTTTGGAGGAATGAGTCTTTTGCTGCAAAATTACAGGGATATAGCTCATGCCCCAGAAGTTCAAGTTTTATTTTTAATGAACCTTTCTCTGGAAAATATGTATAGTTCTTTTTTGAAATAGTTTTGTTATAAAAGTGAATTGTCTCCACTTTTTACAACTTGAAAAATATACAAGTCACTATTTTTAAATTTTGTGAATATTTCCTGGTCACGTTTTATGTGACAATAGCTTTTTCATTCACTCCTGATATTATTCTACTTTTAGTGACATATTCCTTCATCATTTTAATTTACGATAGGTAGATTTTTGTAGGGTTTTAACTTTTTGGAAAATTTAGCGTTGAAATTTAATATTGCACAATTTTTTAATCTAATAATCGTAACAGCTCAATTTAAAGTAGAAAGACTATCTTTTGTGGTTTCCAATAAAAAAAGCAATGCTGTAATCTCATATTTTCAAACAATAAATATTTATTGATTCATTAAAATGCTACTAAGCATATATATTTTGCTTGTGTTAATTTTATACCATTTCTAAATCATCTGGAAATGTCTTTCACATGGTAGAAATTATCAAGTCATGGGGATAGGAATGGAATGTTACTAGCTATCTTAAAAGCACTGTCACTTTTTTAGAGAAAGTAATTTAGACTAAGAGTATAAAGCACTTTTTAAAAAACTAAATGAAATGCTGACTGTAGGAAAGCAGTACTCATCTTAAATTACCAACCCTCAGATGTGGTCATGTTTGCTTCATCTTTCCAGGATGTCATTTACTTATATATTTCCCCATGGAACAGACATGAGGAAAGAAAAAAAAAAAAAAGAAAAAGCCCTCAGGAGTCAAGTGGCTTTTCCCTGGAAAATCTAAAATTCTATTTGTATCAATGGCTTTTTCGTCCCTGTCTGGCATGCTGGGACGTGGTTGAGTTAGATGTCTATATAGAGAAGTGAGCGTTGGCTCCTTTGAAGAAGTGGACACGCTCATTCAGAACTTGGAGAGAAGGCATGTCCTTCTGCATTTGTGTTTTTAAAGAGATCAGAATGGCTATATTTAATGAAAATGGCTGCTAGCAAAGTGTAATCCTGTGATGTGCTCATTCCAGTGTTTTTGGAAGGAAAGGCGGGTTTCTGACTCTGGACACGGGATAAAGCATAGTATGTCAGATCGCAAACTTGGGAGCCAGTCAGACCTAGCCTCAAGTCCAAGTCTGCCATTCTCCAGCTGTATGGTGCTGGTGGTGGCAATGGTGGTTGAGAGGTAGTGGTGGCAGTAAGGGTGGCAGCCACGGTGGTGGCGCCAGTAGCGCCATGGTGGGGGAGATCGGGATGGACTGGTCACAGATTCTCTGATGGATCCAGAAGGTAGGCATTGACAGTATCAGTAAAGAAGCATTTATTGAGGTAGACAAGGTTTTGTAGCCCAGCTTAAGTTATTACTTTCTTAAACACCGTTTTTTACTCTGGATGATTAGTTTTGCAGTGAGTTTCACAAGCAAGGCTATGAATAGCAATGGGATAGGAAGGAGGTGTCTCAGACCTCACCCAGGTGACCTAACCCACTCCCTTCCTGACTCCCACAGATGCTCTGCCAGCTCTATTCCCAGCCCCATCCTTTACCCCCCTGCATGCCAGTGTGGGCTCATGTAATTCCCACAGAGACATGAGAGGGCGGGGCAGGCCTACAAGCAAGGAGAGCTTCCCGCCCCTACAACAGGGCTTATTCTAAAAATGCAGTTTGGCTTTGCAGCTAGTTCTCAGTCTGTGCCAGGTTTCTAACTCTAAGGAAACCTGAATTTGAAAACCTAACTCTGAGCATGTTCAAAAATAACCACTGAAACAGATGTGCCCATGTTCCCTCCTTTCTCTCCTGGGGTCTAAGACAGCACTGTTATATGGAACATCATTCTGGAGACCAAAATGCTTTTTTAGCTTTCACAATTCAAAAAACATCTTTGTCTAAATTTTGTTTTTCTCAATTTTGTTTTTCTCAAATTCATATGCCTAACAGCCTTCTTCCACCCACCTCCACATTTCTCAGTTAATCACTTGAACATTTACCGACAAGCCACATGGCTCTGTAGTTACTTGCTTTGAAAATAAAGCCATAATAGTTTTTATGAAAATTGGGTAAATATCTCTGCAATGCTATTTTAGTTGCCAGTCCCAACATGGCAATTACTCATGGCGAGCATCCAGAATATCCTTTCAGACTTTCAAGTTTTCTCTCAGTGTCGTTACTTTACACAGCATGTAGCAGAATGGTTTTTTTTTTTTACCCCCCAAGCTGCTCCAGGCCAGATCCCTGCAAACAGCAAATTGGGATGCATCCAGGTCACTGGAAGTGGACGGTGGTAGGGGTAGGGGAGAGGAACTAACCACAACCACTACTGAAATCTTAGGTGGACAAGCCAGAGTGTGGCTGGTTATCAGTTCATTCATCCCT